GCATGGACAGCCAAGCTAAATATACAGAGCTGAGGACACCGAAAGCACCTTAGTGAAAGACATTAGAAGGAAACTGCACATATTAACAGGATCTGGGCTTTGGCTTCTAGAGTAATTTGGGGACAGGAGCTGTTCAGAAAAGCAGGGCTTTGTTCTAGATTGCCAGAAAAAATGGGCCAGTCTGTCAGATATGGTAGCACACACCTACAAACCCAGTAACTAGGAAAGCTACAGTAGGAAGACTGCAAGTTTGAGTACCGCAGTCTTCCTACTAAAGCTTTCCTAGTTACTGGGTTTGTAGCAAGATGCCATCTCAAAATTAACAGGAAAAACCAAGACTGGGGATAGAGTTCAGTGGTAGAGAGCTTCATAACATGGTTTCAATCCTTATCTCAAAAAAAAAAAAAAAAAAAAAGGTTAGACATCTTAAGCCTGAGGAATTCAGTAATTCTTACACATAAGCAAGACAATCTAGAACAAGAACAAAGTAGCAGTTGCTCAAGAACCCTTAAATAACTAAATAAATAAGCCAGGGAAACAGCTGGCAATAACTGCCTGCCTGGCAAGCATAAGGACCCAGGTTTGAACCCCAGAAACACATGCTGAGCTGTCCCCACCCCAGGCCCACCAATACCAGGCCCTAGTGACACAGGCCTGTAATCCCAGCACTGGGGAGGCTGAAACAGGAGGATCACTACCAAGTCTGAGCTGCATAGTGAGACCCTTTATCAAATACACAAATTTTTAAAAATATAATAAATAAAAAGCACCTTTAGTCATTCCTACATGATAATCTTATCAGAGAACAGGAAAGAGTCAGTATTAGGAACAGATACTGTTCTTGGTCAGAGAAAAAAATTATCAATTTCTTTATGAAGAGAATGCAGAGTTCAGAAAGCCACTGGAGAATATTTTAGTTACTATGCATAACCATGTCCAATTCCATAAAGCCTGGCTTTCCTCTGACCATTTCATGAAGTTACATGGATCAGCAGACTGTACGTACTTCAGGCACAGTTCTGAAGTCCAACATAGGTGAAATCAGCTAAGGTACCTTGCTTCCTTCTCAAACTAACTTGTCACAAGAGCAATTTTCTTTCTCTCATTTCAGACTACAATTTTCAGGGGGATTACAGGCCTGTGACACTAGGTCCTGGTATTGGTGGGCTGGGGTAGGGACAGCACATCATGTGGTTCCGGGGATATAAATAAAATGAAAACACAAAATAAATGCCCCACTTTAACATTTATTATTAAACTCAATACATATAAAGTACAGTCAAACCTCTATCACAAAATTCAGCTACACTGCATCTAAACACAAACCTGACTCTATGACAGGCAGAGTTATAAAGGTCTAAGGATCGTTGGGGCTTCTGAATTATATTTAACCTATTCTGTGCAATACAAACTAATTCTATCTTGGGCCAGCGAGATAGCTAAGCAGTCTAAAGTGCCTGCTTCAGCAAGCTTAGACAGGCGCAGGAGACTATGGTTCAATCCCTGGCATCACATGCTGCACTGGCCATGCCCTCAGGATGGGCTGAGTCAGCCAAAAAAAACCCACACAACTCATTAATTCTGTCTCACAGTCTTCACAATTCAAATTCACAAGGCATCCCTGGTGTGAAGGGCCTTGCTGTATGCCCATCAGCCTGCGGTTCCTTCCATGAGCAACAACTACAAGCACACCAGTAGAACATCAGACACAAGCCTGCTGTACTGTTCTAAAATGGATCAATCATAGGACCAAAGCTTCGATGCAGACAGGATTTTGATGGCATTCTCTCCCATTCAGATCTAACTATGTGCTTGCTAGACAGAGTGTTTTGAGTGTTTTCAGATATGAAGTGATGAGTTTTGCCAAGGACAACTTGGGATTTGACTATGATTCTGTGCCTTCCAGAGCAGTGCCTTTATCTCCCATAGTGTCAGTTCTATGGCATCTCAATATCCCTGCTTCCCTCCCTAAGGTCATGCTTCAACCCATTGGTACCAAGTCAAGGGAACAAAGAACTTAGGCAACCACCAATCAGTCAAGTGCATCCAGATTCTCACCAATGACACTCCCACCATAGCTCTGCTGAGGGCTTATACTGACCAATAAGCAATGCTATCATTTCAAGAGTTCATCTCCAGTTCAAGAAGACAGCCAGTGCATTATCCCTCAAGTCTTGACTAGCTTCCAGAACCTTCCTGTGTTTCATCTGCTTTCTTCTTCCAGGCACCCAGCTGGCAGAAGCTAAAAACTCTAAAAAGGCTTCCATACAAGTATGGAGTGCTGTCTGCCAGGCTAGACCCAGCATTTCTGGGTCAAACCCAAGGTCTGGGTCATTCTCTTTGCTTAAAAACTGTATCATTCGGGGCTGGAGAGATGGCTCAGTGGTCTAAGGCACCTACTTGGAACAAGCTTGGCAGAGCATCAGGGACCGCGGTTCAATCCCCCAGCACCACATGCCAGCCAGCCCCGCCCCCTGGTGGGCTGAGCTGGCC